CTACTACATCTTTCCCACCCTCTCCCCCAGCCCCTGGACCATCCTGGGGCTCCTGTCCCCTCTTTGGGGCATGAGATCCTGGAGCGAGGCTGTGGGCTGGGATTGGGGAGGCCTTGGGGGCCCACGTCCCCCTCCTCAGGGGTGACCAGCATGGCCTCTTGGATCGGCCTGGCCAAAGGTTGGGGTCTGGATTTCCTTTTCAGCTCCTGGTCTTGGCCGACAGGCCCCTTCACTTCTGACGGCTTTGTTTTCCCCAGGGCAGGCCAGGGGAGGGGGGCCTCGCGGCAAATGAGCATTAATCCCTGCGGCTGCCCTGTCATTATCCCCGCCAAACAGGCTGCCCGTGCTGGGCTGCGTCACTCAGAGGGAGTTGAGACCGAGGAGCTGGAGGACCGCCGCCCCAAGCCGGGACGCTCCTCCCCTCAGGTACTCCCCAGGTCTGCAGGGAGCCTAGATTGTCTCCTCCCACCACACGCCTAGGACAGGCTTCCAAGTGTGTAAGTGGGGAGTCTGCGTTTGGAAGTGTGACGGCTGGCGCAGTCTTGTCTATTCAACGCGTACTGAAGCCTGCTGTTTGCCAGGGTCCCTGTAGGGGAGGGGGGAGAGCTACAGCCAGAACAGAATAATAGCCATCCCTGACTATTACCGCTGAGTGTTTCACCTGTGCCAGGCACCATTCTAATCACTTGGCCTGGATTATCTCATTTAACTCTGCCATTAGCCTAGGGGGTGGATACTTGCATTATGCGCCCCCCCCCATTTTACAGATTGGAACTCTGAGGCTCAATCACTTGCCCAAGAGTTCTATATTAGTAGGCATCAGAGAGGTCAGTTCCAGGGTACTTTCTCCTCATCCCTAGGCCATCCAAGCTCCCAATTAGGTCTTCCTTCCTTTCTTACTTTCTCTCTCTCCTTTCTTTCCTTTCTTCCTTCTTTCCTTCCTTTTTCTCTCCCCTCCCTGCCCCATCTCTCTGTCTGTCTTTCACTAATTTTCTTAACCTTTACTGTGCAGCTGGTGTGTCTAGGCCCTAAGAATAAGTTTACAACTAGGCTGAAGGGAGGGGAGTGGGCTTAGATGTGAAGGTCGCTGAAGAGAGTGATGAGCGTTCTTCGGGCATACGGACCAGGGTGGGGGAAGAGATGACAAGTTTTGTCCAGTCAGCTCCTGCAAGACCCCCTCTTTGAGAAGGCAGTGGAACACAGGGTCTTAGTATCTTTACCACACCCTCCGGCGGGGAGAGAACACGCCTAGGGGAAGAGATGGCATATACAGAAGTCTGCAGGCCTGAGGATGACTGAAGATTCAGAGGGAGGAGCTGGAGAAGAGGTAGGGAGGTCAGTTCTTGGAGTACCCTGGGGCCCTGTCTCAAGGAATTTGGACTTATCTGATAGATAAGGATGGCCACTTGAGCAGCTTCAGTGGGAAGCCTCTCCCTGACTCAGCTTGGGATGTGGAAGAGGAGCTTGCCTGTGGCAGGAGATGCCTTTCCCAGTGCTGCCTTTCTTAAAGTCTGGCCACATGCACCAGCATCCCCTGAGGGAGCTTCTTCAACCCGAGGTCCCTGAGCCCCAGCCCAGACTCACTGATCCTGAATTTCAAACATGTGCCCTCCCTGAGTCCAAGGCCCCCCTGCTGTGGTCCTTGTCAGAGGTACAGAGCTGATCAACCTTTGTTGCAACCCTGGACATCCATTTACTCGATGCTATTGGACCAGGAGGTGGGCCCATTCTCAGAAGCCAGAATCTATAGGTGACAGGCTCCATGCACAGTGGCCCTCAGAGGAAAGCCCCTTCTGTTCGGGGTGCAGGTGTGTCTCAGAGTGTCCTGAGCCCGGAGCTGTACAAGGCGCTCTGGGCATGGACAGGGGACCACCTACCCAGTGCCCTGGGCCCTGTGAGCCAAGGTACATCCCTCAACCCCCTTCCCCCTCATTGTGCATGTGTCCACCTTATTTCTTCCCTAATTGGGGTGAAAAGAGGGAGTGAGAATGGCCTCAGGGTAGTTGAGGTACTGGATTCTCCTTCTCAAAACAGTCACTACCATTACGTCAAACACCCGGCTAAGAGATTTATGTGTATTTCATCTGTACCACAACCCCGAGGAGTAAGTGTCATTATCCTCATTTTATAGACAGACTCAGACGGTTACTTGCGCAAGGCCACTCAACCTTATCTGTAAAATGAGGACAGTGTTCCCCTCACAGAGAAGTTACGAGGGTGGCAAAGGACTTGATTTGCCATGCCTTTGGCACTGCAGAGGCACAGTGCCTACCTGGACTGGATGTTAACCTGGGGTGGCCTTGCAGGTGCTGGTGGCAGGACATCAGGTAAACGGCTCCGGCATCAGCTGTGCCGAAGGTCAAGGTGGGTCACCAAGGGACAGGAAGAGGCTTTCAGCCACACTTGCGGGGCCCTGGAGGTACTGCTGTGAACTGGGCAGGCGGTGACCTCGGATACCCTTGCGCCCAGCTCTGGGCTCCCTGGCGAGTCACACTAGGGCTGAGAGCCTCGAGCTTCCTGAGAAAAGAAGCTGACTCGCTTCCTTTCCCTTCCGATACCCCCACATTGTTGTGACCTCAGCAGTTCCAAAGGTCTGGCCGGGATGTCTTTGCCCATTCAGATCACTGTACCGTAGTCTGAGTGGCTTAGAAACAAACATTAATTTATCCCAGTTCTGGAGGCTGGGAAGTCCAAGATCAGGGTGCTGGGAGATTTGTTGTTGGTGAGGATCCACTTCCAAGATCATAGGTGGCTGTCTTCTCACTGTGTCCTCACCTGGCAGAAGGGGCGAGGGGTCTCTCTGAGGTCTGTTTATAAGGGCGCTAATCCCATTCATGAGGGCTTTGCCCTCGTGACCTAATTACTCCCCAAAGGCCCCAGCTCAAAATCACATCACATTGCACGTTATTTCAACATATGAATTTGGAGGCAGGCAGTGGGGGTGGGACATAACATTCGGTCTCTAGCTTTCAGTTATAGGACGTTGCTTTATGAGAATCCTGGGTCTTTTGACACACTCAGGAACTGGAGGTGGCTGGAGAGAGCCTCACCCCGGATAAGGAAAGCCCTTCTGAGCGCAGTGAAAAGGGGAAGCGTGCCTCTGGCTGCACGAGTTGCTGGGCTGCTGCTCCAGACCACGGGAGGATTCCGCCGCGCCCAGGGACAGAAGTGCTGGGGGCAGCATGGCATGGTGGCTATGAGCAGGGGTTTGGATCCCAGTCCTGGCTTTGACTCTTGGCCCTACCACTTCCTGCCTGGATGGTCCTGGCGAGTCACTTTCCCGGGTCCCCATGGCTGTATCAGCAGCCCCCACTTCAGAGTTGATGTGTGGCAAAAATGCAGAAGGGCCTGTGAGGTGCTTAGCACAGAGCTGCTCAAGAGCTCAGGGCTGTGATGATTCTCCAGCAGCCCCACTTTCTCTTCCTCCTCTGGGAGTGTCACGTGGGCAGTGACTGCTCTAGTCACTGTTCAGGGTGCCCAGACACCAGGAGGGGACTTCCCTGCCTGCCCCTGCAAGCAACCAGTTCCTAGCTTTGTCAGTGGTGAGAATGGGGAGGTGGCTCTGGATGCCTTGCTGG